CCTCACGCGTGCTCCGTCAGAGTGAAAGAGCGAGTCACTGCTGCTCATTTCACAAGGAGCGCGGCGAGCAGTGAGCTGCTCCTGCTCATCCCCGAGACCATCGCGAGCAGCTTCCATCGAGAACCTATCATCGTTACCACTTTAAACCTGTTGCACGGTAATAATATGCACACTATTGCGATACGTCATGTTCGCCGCGCTGGACCTGTTTCGCTGCTTGAGGTCGCCCGAGCCGCGCAGGGCGAGGCGTGGCGTGGGCCGTGAGTATGAATTTGCAGTGGCCCCTACCGGCCCGGCCCCTGCGGGTCGCTACCCACCTACCTTCTGTATCATGTAGTCGAGCCAGGGGACGGAGGACAGCAGCACACCGACCAGCAGTGTGAATAAGCCCAGAGATATGGCGCACAACCGACCTGCAATGGAGATTTGAAAAAAAAAGTTAGTATTCTTAAATTAGCTTAGAATATTTGTCATACAAGAAGTACTATACATTTCCTGTACTTTACTATACATCGTCAAAATTGGCAATTTCACAAAACATCCTTCACGGTTAAAACGGAGTCCAGGGATTCCCAGGAGAGTTGGAACCTAAGTGGATGCCCTGGAAACAAACAATTATTCCCAGGGGATCTACTGGAAAACCCAGGACACCCCTTGGTGAAATTGCACATTCCCAGGGCAACCCCTGGGACTCTTCCAACTCTCCTGGAAAATGAAGGAAACTCCTGGGAATCCATGGCTGGTTTTTACCGTACTAATTTTCGATAAAATCGTTTTTTTCTCTGCCTGTAAACTTGCTTTCTTTTATTTTTCGCGCACCATTTTGCTCACAGTAAACAATAGTCGCAGGTTTACGCTAAAATTGTCCATGATGTGTGTCGCAGAATTACAATTTGAAATCATAAATGGGTAAGCACTTCGTATCGACTTGGAATTGATCGACAAAAGAGAATGGTGTGTCGATGTATTCATATGGGCCGACCGCCATGTTCTTGAAGCAACTTCTTCCTTTCTTCCCCTGTTTTCGTTCTGAACACACGGTGAATTAGTGATCGTCCGTAAAGTACGCCCGGCTTTTGTCAGATTTATTCGTCAAATGAGGGGAGCTCAGCGCCTGCGAGACTCGGGGTGGGCCACCCCGCAGAACACGAATGCATTGCAGACAAGATGTTGCATACCTATCAGGCGCCATGAGAGCTTGCATATTCTGAACAAAGCCTAAACTTGGAAGTTTTTTTTTTTAACAGCGAATGACGGACGTGCTCTCTGGACGATACCTGGATTAAGGTGCAGCTTGCTTTCTTTTTCTAAATCAGTCTATACCCGTCTCTTTAAAAAAAATCACAAATTCCCTGTGATGAAAATCCGTTTTTACTGGGTAAACATGCTTTTCTTAGCCATTTATAACCTACAAAAAAATCTTCTAAAAAATCGTTTTTTTAAATCGTACAATGTTTGGTATTAGGGTTCATTTTATAGCAGTACATATGCGGGACATTCCATACTTCCATTACTACCATTACATTACTTTTGGTTTGCGAAAAATTCGTTTCTGTGTTGTACCTGCATGTCATAACTTTTTACAGTCTATATTGTTTGCATTTTGCCTTGCATGCAGCGAGTACAGTACAACCGCCCACGTCTGCGTGACACTTGATAGGGTGCTTACCACATTCGACATCACGCCGATTATTATTAATTTTTTTGATCATGCGTATTCCAACCCTAAGGAGTATGTTTTTTGTTACTCTTGCACCTGGTCGGCAGTTATGCAACCCAATGCACCGCCGTGCCTTTGTGCTTCTCCTACATATCCCATCACTGACAGGCTGAAGGCTCGCTGACAGGGAGCTAAGTGGTTGTCTGGGTGAATGGCGCTTTTGGCTTGCTTTTGGTCATAGGGAACAAAAACCTAGTTTTATAAAAATGCTTGGGACCGGAGTTTTTTTTTAATTTTTTTTTAACAAAGGCACTAAGGCAAAAGGAATCATTTTGTCCAGCTGAGAGATGTAAATTTGTAACTTTTTAGATTTAATGTGTTCACCTGCAAGATGCTCTCCCTGATACATCGCCAACTGTGGACGACAACTTCATTTCCCATTTAGCGTGTGAATGAAATCAAAAAAAAAGGGGGGGGAGACAGAGACAGAGAGAGACGTTGCGTGAGTGATCGAGGGCTAAACTTTCTTATACGGTATCTCCTTAATTTATGCCCGTACTACTGCCGGGACTGTGATGACAAAGCGCTCTACACGGCGAACAATCTTGCGACCTAAGAATTCTCAAAAGTGATTCTTTTTGGGTTTGTAGCCCCGCTCCTGCGTTAAAGTCACCGTGACGTTTTGTTGTCATTAGCGTGTGGCTACCCTCCCCCCCCCCCCCCCCCCTCTCTCTCTTCCTCTCTACCAGACGACGGGAGAGTTGCATTTTAATGATTTGATACGATTCAGGCCACGTGGTGCGGGTGGCGCGCGCTTCTCTCTCTCTCTCTCTCTCTCTCTCTCTCCTCAC